AGCCTAGTTTACACAAGATGTTCTGGACAGAAGGCTTCACCCAAGGCTGGAGCCTCGGGTTTAAGATAGCACAGGGTACACTGACTCCTTCCTTGGGATGTTTGGTCTCTCTGCCCAGCAAAACGCCTAAACTAAGCTGGAATATCAAGCTTCAGGAATTACAAGCATGTGGGCTAAGGGGTACAGGCGGATGTATAGAGGGTACAGAAGCATAAAGGGAAAAGCAAAAATCATCAGGCATCAGGGGAAGCGGCGAAACAGAACACACGGGCGGACAGGGAAGGCAGGACCACAGGGAGAAAAGGAAAAGCGAGGGAGCGGGGGGAGGCCAAGGCGACCCTCGAGGCGGGCCCCTGCTCCCTCCAAGAACTCCAAAGAAAATGGCTCCCGGTTGTGTCTCAGTTAGCTGCTTTTATATGCCTCACCCTCCTATTTCCCGTGCGTTTTTTCCACGGGCTTTTTTTCCCGGACATCCGGGCATCTGCCCCACCAACAAGGTGGAGGCAGGGTGCTTGCAGAGCAGTGGGGGAAGCTGTCTCTCCTGTGACTGGCTGCCAGGCAAAGCCTCCCAAGGGACAAGGCTCCCTGTAAGCACACTACTCCCGGAAGCCATTTTTTTTTACCTCGTGGAACATATGTTGAGGCATGAATAAGAATCAGACTGGTCCCTGTCGGCAGTGTATAAATTTCACCTCATCTTTTGGACAACAGCATTTCAAGGGATTTTGTACAATATCTCCACCGATGCTATTACAGGGAAATGTGCATGTTTATTGGAAGAATGATAGAAACTGAATCTGATCCATAAATGATCTGAGCAAGACTCCGCAACTTATATAATTTTAAGTTGTGAAGTAGGTATGTTTATTGCAGCGCTGGGTGAGCGGGAGATACTCCTCAAAGCCGCACAGTATCGCTTGGTATATATCAGGTTACATGTTACACATTCACCGAGTTTTGCAATTCACCTCTACATATGCATGACCTGTCCCTGCTTTGTATTATAATGAGTTTAAAAGTCATTTCCATGTGCTCACGCCTGCGCCGTGTTATCTGGTAGTGGGCTCCGGGGGGTCCAGGAGGAAGTAAAATACTCATCCTCTTGTCTTGAACTTTTCACCTTTCTCTTTTGTGCATGCTCTCTGGGTCCCCGGCCCAAGTCCAAAACAACAACTCTGGTTTTGACCAGAGCAGGGGTTCCACGCGTAAGGGCTGGGTCACAGTCCCTGCTTTTGTCAATAATCTTTTACTTCTCATTCTGCTTTGACAAACACAATCAATGTTAAGTAAGCAATATACATTGTCTAGCAAGCAGTTTCTAAYAAGTWAYCCTGTAACTTYTAAYKTCCYTGCAYCATTCCCCCCTTTTCTATAAAATTAGTAAATTCTTTTACTAATACATACATTCTTCTTCTAACAAACTTATATGAAAGGTGTCTCTTAATGCTTTACCATGTGCGTTTGACAAAGAAGTCAGAATCGCTACTCATTGTAACATTCGCCAATTCTAAACAAATAACACAAAAGATAAAATAACACTAACTAATAATAAAAGAACAATAATAGGGTGACAAAGTGTATTTAGAATACCAGTTGCAGTAGGTGACCACCCAAAGAGCACATCCTACCAKTGATGACTTGCATCTTGTCTTGCCCTTTGCAGGATTCTGCTTATCTTTTCTGAGTCATGATGTATAGTAATTAAAGTTTTCTTTCTATTTTCCTGGATTTCTTTCAAAATTTCAATCAAGTCTTGATGCTTTACTAATTGTCTTATTAATGTAAGGTTCATTCCAATAGGTATGGGTGACAACTTGTGGTACATAGTGTAATTAGACTTTATCAATTGGTGGGATACAACTGGAGCAAAATACGAAAAGTCACACCCAATGACCTTAACAAAATTACAGATACAAAAATTAATATAATTCTTAACATTTAAGGTTATGTTATCACTATCTATCTTTATAGAAGCACAAACAGTCCTTAAGCACACACAACCTTGACCAATATATACAAGCACAGTCTTTTGACTGGAATCTGGATGGACTTCAAAGTGGCAAATGCCTTGCTCTGTATCAAGGCATATGTCTTTGGCATCAATTGTATTGCTTTCACAGATAAACCCTTGTTGTTCTCATGCAATACAGGATTCTAAATTCACAGTTTGCCACTTTTTCTCTACCATCCGGGCCCATACCCTATGTTCAAAGGGATAGAGCACTGTTCTCTCATGGTTTAATCCTAATACAACAATGGGGTGGATAATGTAGACAGGAGCATTGCGTATAGTGAGCACAAAGGCTGTGGCCATATTGTCAAAAGGGTCATAGGTAAAGTTTACCAGGGTCCACTAAGATTGAAATTTTCTTTCTAGATCAGTGGCATTGTCTCAAACAATTTTCTGAATTTTAATGGAAAAAAAGTGCCTTTACTACCTTCTCTTATAATTAAGGCAGCTGCTGACTGTGTCCATAGTTTTGTCTGTATACAATTAAGGGCTAAGGATGTCCTGGACTATACCAAGTGCATTTATTAGTTCATGGTCCTCTTCTTCAACTTCTTTCCATTTTGGTAACACTTTTGAAACTTGCCACTGTTTACTCCCTAATGATAATAGAGAAGACTGCAGGGGTTGTCTTAATTTTAAAAGTATACTAACAGTCTAATTTACTTGAACTGGTACAAATTTTGTCATGCTTATCATTAGGGGTAGTCGAGACACTTATTTGGATTGCTTTTTCATAGGCATTCCCATTAACCATTCAACATCTTATTTTGATTACTTCACCTACAGTCCTCTGAAGTTGCTACAACCTTTGTTTTTCCCATTCCTGTCTTGCATATACCTGATTTTCGTGTATAACCACAGTTAACAGATTTAAACCCTTTACATCAGAATACCTCCCCATGGATCCAGTATACTTCCAGATACCTTGAGACCAAAGCTAATCAATATTGTCCTGGCTAGAGGTCCTCTCCCGTCCCTGGATTATAATTATGATCGTGAGAAAAATAATTTTCCTGGTTGAACTTGCATGACTTTCCATGGAGAATTACGAGCCTTCTTCACTTTGGTATGATGAATCCAGGCRTTCTGCTCCTTGATTTTAATTGCGGTGAAAATGCTAAGGAGTACCTGAAATGGTGCTTCCCACTGTGGCTCCAGAGTTTTTTCCTGCAAAAGACTTAACACATACATAATCTCCAGGTTGAATATCATGTACGGGAC